CGCACTTCCCAAGCGGCGCACTATCCAGTGCGCCACCGGGCCGGCCCCCATATTTGTTTCATTTTTACGGGAGCGCCACCGCACTTCCCAAGCGGCGCACTATCCAGTGCGCCACCGGGCCGGCCCCCATATTTGTTTCATTTTTACGGGAGCGCCACCGCGCTTCCCAAGCGGCGCACTATCCAGTGCGCCACCGGGCCAGCCCCCATATTTGTTTCATTTTTTAAAAACCCAATACACCAAAACAATCTTAGAAAACATGAATTGGATGTAATTTGTAATATCAATAGATTATGCCCTTCCTAAAGTGACTGGTCACAGGCTTCTTTTAAACACTGAGGCGCCCTTGTGTTTGTAATATATAATCTGATATAGAAAAATCAATATTTACGTAAGTCTTTTCACAAACATGCCTCATGTAAGAAACAAACTGCTCCTGGATTTAAAATAGGATGGCTAACAGGATTTAGGGGTTCTGAGTTTACTCTTGCTTCCATACTCTCTAAACCTTGAAAATAAAGTTTCCTTCCCTACCAAATTCTTCCTTTCTCCATCTGGCAAGCACTGACTTGTCCCTGTGTGTCCAATGAGGCTGAACTAACATGGCTTTTGAATTCTCACTTCCTTGTGTGTACATCAAGGACGTCAGCAAAGTACTGGGAACAGGACAGTGTGGGTCAGTTTGCTGCTCCTGCCAGGCTGCAGGGGTGAGCTCTGGGATGGTTTCCCATAATAGAGAGCATTACCCCCCCCAAAAAGTGGTTTTTGCTGGTTTGCAAGTTGACATTTGCTTATTGTACTTGACGCTTGTTTGTTACAATCTAGGCACCCCAGTTCATAACAACATTCCTCAGCACCATATAAAGCACCATATAAAACAGGAGCAGAACAAGTCAGGTCTGAGGGCCTTGATAGTTTATACCTTTAAACCTGAGACAAGAAGGGAGGCAAGGTAGCTCCATCTTTCCACTGCTTTCTGTTTCAGCCCCTTGAATGAAGTGCTGTCATGGCTCACATTCATTAGCCCTGGAGACGTCCCACCAGAACAGCCCTTCACCTTCCTGCCCATGGCAGTAGTCAGATCCCCACCAACTGAAGCTGGCCCTACCTTAGAAATGGGACAGGAATTGCTAATCTAGAAAGCTGGACTCTTCCCCCTCACAGGCTAAATGACAGACTTATCCAAAATTTGGAGTTAGGAAGTTTCTGTTCCATTTAACAGACAAAATTAGCTTCTTTTTAAAAATTATGACCAATTGTGGTCTAAAGATTTAAAATGAGTTACAGAGCTGATATTACCCCCACAACCAACCTTAATGAGACCCCTCAAGAAAAGTTACCTATATAAGTTAACCAAAACTTATTATACTTGGGGAAGTCAACTGCCTACAGTACCTAGGGTGAACTTCATAAGAGCTTGTTTTGGATCCAAGATATAATGAGACTCTTCTTTCACATCAACAATCGTGGCAAATTCCTTCACCCGAGTGGAGCTTGGTGCACCCAGTCTCTCTGCATATAACCAAAACAAATTTGAATCCAAAAGGTAGATATTCAGGGTCTTGTTGGTTCTGCAGCTCAGGCCTGTGAAGTCTGTGCTAGTCATGTCCACTTCAGCAAAGAGATACCTGTTCTCCTCAACATGAGGAATGGAGCTTGGCATATCAACCTCACACTTCTCCTCGAGGGAAGGAAATGTGATGGTCGGGCTTTCAAAGACATCTTGTTCGAAGCCCGCTGCGCCCCTGTTTATGGTCCTGCAACATGCAGTGTAGTAGCTGAAAGGGCTGTAGGAAGTTAAAAAATTGCTGCACTGTATCCTGTCTGACGCCACATGATAAAAGGTCTGCTCCTTGAGGTAGAAAGAATCCAGAGCTGCTGCCATCTCAAAAAAGCTGCACTGTGGCACACTGACCGAGCTGGGCTTGATGCCCCCAGTGGTCTGGTTGACGCATAGTTCACAGATGTTGTGGGTCCTGGAGAGGGAGTGCCACTGGGGCAGCACCACAGTATTGCAGCAGGAGGATGCCATGATCAGTGGCGACTCCGGTGCCAGGGACTCAAACACCGGTGCATCTACCCGTCGCAGGTGCTGAAGGAGGCGCTCCACTACCTGGTCCCCGTGACAGTTGTTGTATTCCAAGGCTACTTCGGTGATCTGAAATACAGAGCAGAGTCAGTGAGAGGCACAGGGGTGACCAAGGGTGAAACCCTGAAATCGTTCAGGCTAGAAAGCACCCTGCTCTAAGTCATGGGCAGGAGACCAGGCCAGAAGGACTCCTGCTCATACAGAATCCTGGATTACTTTTTAGAACATGTCATTCTATTAACAAACACTGAACCAATTTTTTAGAGACAAAAGGAGTCTTAGAGATGTCTCAGCCCCCATATGAGAAGAATGGAGCCTGGAGAAGTGAAGCGGCTCACCCCAGGACACAAATCCAGGTTATCAAGGCACCGTGAATAGAATTTAAATCTCTCCCAGTTGAGTGTATTTTTCTTTACACCTTTAAAACTCTTCCACACTGTCTTCTTTCTTCATCTTAATAAGTCTAAAAAATTCCCAAACATCTAATGAGTGGATCAAAATATTTCATAACATATGCATTTCCAAATAAAGTCATGCCTCACAGAGGCTACCAATTCAACCTGTTCCAAGCCATCCCCCATCATCTTACCTTCCCCACACCCTCTTCTTCCTCCTCACTACCCACCCCAGGAAAATAGAATCATCAAGCTGGAAATTCAGTCGATCCTTAGCGTCTTCTCTGCATCATCACATGCCTCAAATCAGCCAGCTGTGACTTCCGCATAGCTAAGCAAGCCCTTCTGCCCATTCCCACTACCACGGCCTCAATTCCCATCCTCAACTGTCATGGACCACCATCATTTTCTCTCCCTACCTTAACTGAACCTCCCACTGCTACCACTTATTTTTAAAATTACAATCCTAAGCATGACACTCCTTGGCCAAATGATATTTGGTGGCTCCCTACTACCTGCAGGACAAAACCTACATACAATCTGGCCATGGTCTACCTTTGCAGTCTCACCCCCACCCTCTTCAGACCAGACCAGGCCCTCACATGTCACCTTCACAGCGGCTAGCCCAGGACATGCCAAATGATATTTGGTGGCTCCCTACTACCTGCAGGACAAAACCTACATACAATCTGGCCACGGTCTACCTTTGCAGTCTCACCCCCACCCTCTTCAGACCAGACCAGGCCCTCACATGTCACCTTCACAGCGGCTAGCCCAGGACACTGGCTCCTCCATCTGTTTCCAAGATGCAGCACTAGGGGGGCTGCTTGGTAAAACTCACCACACCCCCACCCTGAGAAAAGCTAGCTTCTGCACCTCCAGTGTTCCTGAAGCCCCTCCCACAATCTTACAAGTTTCTGTTGAGACATGCTTCTCCCCCACAAGCTTGTGGATCTTCATGAGCAGAGACCACACTGGATTTATCCTGCCATTCCTGGAGCCTAGCATAGGGCCAGGCACCTGACAAACACCTGATGAATGAATGGCATATCTCAGGTAACATACACACTCACTCCCCTCTCTTGATGAGATTACCCTCTTTTCCTCAGATCAGTATGCGCAATTTAGGTTTATGCTTTCTTCCAAGACTCCATTTCCAAAATGAGTATCTTTTCACCAACCACCCCCACCACCCTAGTTTCATGAGAAAGATGAGTAAGTTACAATCCAAAGGCATTTATTCTCTAAAACAGAACAGTGTGTTAACTCGAATCCAATCTCATTGCAGTTAGTTACAAGGTGTTACATCACTCAGGATTTTGTTTCATTAAGGTCTGTGTGTGTGTAAAACCACTTAATGAGTCTGTTTCCAACTTAAAGAAAACAAATTCTATAACATATAACATTTATAGAAAGAGTTAATTCAAAACATATGTATTTGTACAAGTAGTTTGAATAGCTCTTGGCATAAAAAGTCACTTTACGGTTTATTCTCTGTACCAGCCTGCACCCCCCACAGTGTGTTAACTCGAATCCAATCTCATTGCAGTTAGTTACAAGGTGTTACATCACTCAGGATTTTGTTTCATTAAGGTCTGTGTGTGTGTAAAACCACTTAATGAGTCTGTTTCCAACTTAAAGAAAACAAATTCTGTAACATATAACATTTATAGAAAGAGTTAATTCAAAACATATGTATTTGTACAAGTAGTTTGAATAGCTCTTGGCATAAAAAGTCACTTTACGGTTTATTCTCTGTACCAGCCTGCACCCCCCCCTCCCAAAAAAAGGCATTTTTAGATGACAAACCAGTGTTTTAAATTGTTTGTTTTTTTTCCCCCCACACACAAAGATCTCAGTCCTTTCTGGATGAGGTTTGGATAGCACACTGTACTAACAAGATCAAGCCTACAGAATCCATAATGAGTCCAGCTGCCCCCAGCCCCATCCCAGTATTGCTTCATAGTAGTAGATAACTACTCCCACCCACTCCTCAAAAAACCCCCATAAAACTTCAAGATTTACTGTAATCTTTTAAAAAAAATTCCAAGTAGTGAGCATTACACAGTAAAACAAAAGTACTAGAAAATCTTTTTTCCTAATTTCTTTCATTCTCTCTCTCTCTCACACAAACAAAGCAGCCACATAAAGACTATTTTTAATGGAAGAAAATATTTTGTATATAGCAATGCCCTTGAAGAGTGAGGTATTATTATTTTTCTCCTACAAATGGAACTGGTTTTTACAATTCTATCCCTTTTACATAACAAGCAGCTTTAAAAACATGACTCAAGTTACAACATGTATATGTATCACCTGATGTCATATTTAATTTCATATAAACTGTTAAGGAAAACTTGGCAAATAACTTTAGAAGTCTGCACCATAGATTCTTCCTTCTAGTTTAAGTCTGAACACAATAACCATGCATTTGCTTACCAGACTCATACACTGTGAATACCTCAAAGAAATGCTTCTAAAGCGGAACACGAGTTACAATGACTCTGCTGGCTGAGGTAAGCATTTCCTTTGATTAGCAAGTTGCATAATACACAACATGATGTCCTATAACCTCTCTAGAATTCTCTAGAGACACCAGGTGTCAGTGGCCTGACACTGGTGTTGGGATTGATGCTTTTCTATACAGGTGTATACACGCAGGTGTTTGTGTGCGCGCACACATGCATGCATGCACGTCCAAGAGCTGCCCAATCCTGGGCTTGGTCACTTTTAACTGAAATCCTACACGTGCCCCACTACAACTGTCCAAACATCCTTGCTTGGCATGCCCCCAACTCTACCACCCTCACTCTAAGATGACCTCTCTCTTCTCAATAAAGTAAGCTTCCTCAACTTCCTGCCCAAAATTAGGCCTAAGATGGTAATGGAAAAATAAAGCTGCCTTAAATTCTTTCGTGGCCAACAAGCTAATAAGTTTATAAGTCATCTGTGTAAGTGTGATGTTCATCTCTCCTACCCCACCCAAACGCCTGATGACTTCTTCATCTCTGGTCACTGTGTTGCTACTTCCCTGATCACAGACCCTGCTTTCCATCCCACCATCTCCACCCAAGTTCAGGTTCTTACTACTTCTCACTTTTCTGGAACCCTGTTGCCAGGAAAACCTTTCTAATGGTAACACACAGCTCTGGTCACATCTCTTCATTGTCAGTGAGACTCTGATGGCTACAATTAACCTTGAAGTCCTCAGACACATACCCAAGGCCCTTCCCTCCAAAGGTTTTTGCAGGATTTCCTCTAATTAGCCTTCCTGTGGACCATAAAACCCACACTCTTTCCTAATACTAAATCCTCTGCAGCTCCTCCCCCCGCTCTGCCCCGTGCCTTTGTTCCCTCCCTTAGGTTTCTTTCAACCCTTCAAGATCTTGGCTGCCCCCAAAAGTCCATCTCAAACACTCCCCTCCTAAAGCCTCTCCTAACCCCTCTTCTGCCCAGCCCCCAGCTGTCCAGGAGGGTGTCCTCTACCTTCCAATTCCTCCTGACTCTGGCCCTGGAGCTGATCTTCCTCTGCCTTGAATTACAGGCAGGCTCTCATGCCCCTTTTGGACAAGCCACTGAGACCATGGGACGAAGACTGTGTCATACACATCCTTTCTCCCCTGCAGACCCTGGCACAGTACTCAGTAAACATCTGCCAAAATGACCTGGAACGAGGAGGGAGCTGGGTGGGACAGATGTTCTGTTTGTCTATGTAATTTGCAATACTGTGAGATGCAGCCTGGGTTTCAGCCATCTCAAACATACACTAAGGTGAAGGGAATCCCCCCACCTTACAGGGACACTGGGAGCCCTGAGAAAAAGGAGCCCAGACAAACCATAATAAGAAAAAATTTTTAAAAGGCCTGTCAATAGGTGGAGGAGTGGGGGCAGGTGGGGGAGATGCTCATACAGGAACAATGGGCTGCAAAGCAAATGTCCTCCCACCAAGTGCCTAACTCCAACCAAGACCCTCTGGGCAGAGGATCTGGGCTCCTGCCACAAAATTCCACCCCACCCAGGGCCCTGACATGACCAAACCAGACACAGAGAACTCTCCAGAAGGAAACTTTAAAAGTTAAATTAAAAATCCACAACCATAGCTACCCACCTTGGTTGAAAACCCTACCTTTCCTTCAAAGAGTTTTAAGGCTCTTCGTTTTAGATATGCTAAATGCCTAGTCTTTTGAAAGAACATCTCAGTTCATAAAATATCTGCATAGTGAAGATTTTGTAAAGAAGTAAAGCTTCATTACTCCAAGCCCTCCATAATCAGAGTGAAGAAACGAAGCTATTTCGTTTCTCTTTGTCTCCCTTCCTCTAAGCCAGGATACCAGCATTTGCTCAGATCGCTCCCTAGCAGCAATAATAACTTTAATGAAAAGGCTCCAGGGTCACAAAATGAGGGGTCTGGCTAGGCAATAAGTCCTGGCTTCCTGTCCCTCTAGGAGACAACCATGCTAACACTGAGTGGCTCAGAGAGAGGCGGTGTGTGCTTAGCCCGGCCAGTGGTACACTGGCTGCCTGAAATTAGTTTGGGCCAATTAAGTGACCCTCGAGGGAAAGAAAAAATAAAACCCTCAGTAAATCCAATTTAGGAATCCCAGCTCTCTCTGCTTATTGTTATTGCTCTCTCTAAGTGCCTCCAAATGATCCACATCTAAAATAAACTCACACCCAGAGAGAGTGAAGGCACCAGATGAAGCAGGAAAAGCAGGAGGGCTGAGCCTGATGGTGGCTCTCTCTGAAAACCACTCCATTCTCTGCATGCACGACAGGAAAGGTTTAGAAACACAAGGTGTCCTAGTGTTGCTGCTGCTCCTGGCTGCTGGGCTACACAACTCTTTTCTGCTGTCTCAAGGATGGTCAGGGCCAACAGTCTGGCCACCCCCTGCCCATGACAATGGCATCTCCTAGTCCACACTAAACCCTGTGTTTCTACCCACTCCCTCTGTCCCACTTCCCAAACAGGAAGCTCAACATCAGTCACCTCAGTAAGAGGGACACTCAGTCCTTCTCTGGAGAGGCATGGTTTGGTTTCCCTGTCTCCTCCTACTCTCCCCAGACCTGAGTAGCTGGCAATAAATGTGGCCAGAGAGGCTGCAGCAGTCCCCGTCCCAGGCCCAGGATCTCCTGCCCATTTAGAGGAGAAAGGAGGAAGGCCACAGAGCCACAGCTGCCACAGTACATGTGTGGTATGAGAGGGGTCCAAGTAAGTAAGTCTCTCCCACTCCTCATGACACACCTTTAACATTACAACTCTTACCTCATCGATTAAAGGATGACTTTTGGCTAAGGGATTAAAAGGTATAAACAAAAAAAGTGCTGGTCCTTTCTTCAGTTCATTATTCAGCAGGAGACTCTTGCCTCCATGTGGCTGCAGCCATCGAAAGAGCATCTCCCGGTTTTCTAAGGCCCACTTACAGACGTTTTCAGCTGTGTAGTTCATGACCTCCCTGGGAAAGACCTGTAAAGGACAAATGCACAGAGGATAAAAGAAAGCTGAGTGAGGCAGGGCAGGATCAAAGTGCAATGGCACTGTCCTCAAGAGGCCTGATCAACCCACCACTGCACAGGTGAAGAAAACGAGGCTCAGAGCAGCGACATGACCGGCCACTGCAGCACAGCTAACACCCAGAGCCCCCTTCTCCAGATAGAGCATTTCCTTACAAGTCGTTGAAAAGGCAAAAGTGGCCACGGGGTGACTTTCTTATCATGTAATTCATCTTTTCCCCTTTTGACAGAGTCACTTATCAACAAATAATTGTCCTTGCCTGCTGGTGACAATAACAATCTCTATCACCCTGTTCAAGGACAGCTATTAAACATTATTGGATAAGGGGCCGGCCCGGTGGCGCACTGGATAGTGCGCCGCTTGAGAAGCGCGGCGGCGCTCCCGCCCGAGGGTTCGGATCCCACATACAGACCGGTTCCCGCTCACTAGCTGAGCGAGGCGCGGGAGCAGCACCGAGGGTTGCGATCCCGTTGCCGGTCCCCGGTCCGGTACGGGGCAACACTGAGGGTTGCGATCCGTTGCCGGACACGGAAAAAGACAAAAAGACAAAAAAAAAAAAACATTATTGGATAAGACCAAGGAATACCTAAGGGAACAGAAATTACGGAGTCAAGGAGCAGTTAGATTTTTACCTTGGTCCCTCAAACGTGGCCCCACAAGGATGGGAATGGAGCCTCGGTGAGGCGGAGGCTATATCTGTTTTGCTCACCTATATTCCCTGTGACTAGATAAACACCTGGCACAGAGCAGGGACTCAAGAAATATCCATATGCATCAGTGAGGGACCTAAATTTGTACAAGGGCACAGATCACACTTATGTGTATGGATGAAGGAAAGAGACACTTAGATTTTTTTGCTTTGTTTTTCTATAACAACCAATATATGCGAACATAAAATTATTTTTGAAATTCCAATGATATAAATCACTGGTTTCAAACAGATTTCTGAAGAGGTGTTTTGGAGCACTTCATGAAATGAGATATTTGACAACCCGCAAATGGAGATTTACTTGGTTTTGGCGCTGGCCAGTACAAGGATCCAAACCCTTGACGTTGATGTCAAAATGGAGATTTAAATTGCCTCATAACAAAGATGTCCACTGCTTTTATTCTTTTTAAATATCGGTAATCCCAATAATATTTCATTTGATAAAAGAATTCATTCTATTGCTAAACAAACTAACCAACCTTAAAAACTACTAAATTGAAGTAGTAAACTAATATATTTTTCAATGTCATCTCATTCTCCTACCTTTTTTCCTCTATCTTATTTTATTTTTGTTTGTTTTGGTTTTTGCTGGCCAGAGGGTTCAAACCCGTGGTGTTATCAGCAATTTTATTTTTGTTTGTTTTGGTTTTTGCTGGCCAGAGGGTTCAAACCCGTGGTGTTATCAGCACCATGATCTAATCAACTGAACTAACTGGTGAGCCTCTCTATTTAAAATTTCTTCCTCAGTATCCTTTACTATAAATAAATATATATGTAGGCTACATCACATGCTAAAAATGAGGGATACAGGAAAATGATAGATAGCAAAAGCAGATGAAGTCAAGAGAAACTTAGAGGCACAAGGAAAGTGGGTGGGCCCAGAGAAAAAATCACGGCAGCGATCCTCAAAGTGGGATGGTGGGAATTTGAAAAAACATACTCAAACATCATAACAAACATTTCTATTTGGAAAACACAAAAATACATTTGACTTCTGGAACATAAACTGCAAGAAGTAAAGCACAACATCAGGCTACTAGAGGGATGCAGAAGCCAAGGTAACCAGTAAGTGAGGGGCACCCCCGGGAGGGCCTGGTAGTACACGCTGAGCCGCGGGGAGAAAAGATTTTAGCAGGCTGAGTACACTGGGTACAGGGAAATCGACCTTTATACAACCTGTAAGTCACTGACACTGTCAATGATGTTAGAGAGACAGAAAATACTTAAGAAAAATAAACTCTCAGTGATGTGACTGAGGAAGCAGTAATAAATAGAGTAGAAGCACAGGACAAAGCAGCACAGGTCAAAGCTCAGAGGTAGCCGAGTTGAGGTTGTTCCATGAAAAAGCAAGTGAAAGCAGGGAACAAAGGTAACAATGGAAAACCAAGGCTCTCTGGGGTGAGAAGCCATCAATTTCTCACTGTGACTTGACAAGAACTTCAAAGATCTATTACATCAGTTGAGGAGAAGAGCATGTCACAATACTACTCTTCATAAAAGAAACAAATGAACAAAGAACACCACCCAATGGAAGCTTAACCTCTGAGAACATGGGCCTCGAGTAACAATTCTCCAACACAGTAACTCTGCAATTTCATCCAAGAAGGAAAACTAGTAAGGCTAAGAATAAATAAAGAATCTCTAGATGTTAAATTCAAGAGCCTTCTAATACATGGGTTCTTAATCTGGAGCACAGGACCTAGGGTAGGGTTGCAGGAACTCTCAATTTGCATATAAAAAATCATGAGCACTTTCCTAGCAGTGTCCAAAGATCTTATCCAATTCTCAAAGGATTCTGTGACCTAAAGAAGGTTAGAATCACTGCACTAATATAAACGTGATTTCAAAATACTTACAAGTGATGTGTTGAAATGTCTATGTAAATACACACTTCCAGACTGTACTAAGGATACCAGTTTCGCAAGATGTTTATTTGTGATAACCCCAAATCGTACTGTTCCTAGGTAATCTGAAACAGAAAATTTTCCTTTATTAAAGAAAAGGCCTATGCCTTAAAACAACCACAAAACCCAATGACCAAGTCTTGATGCCCAAGTCCCCTGGAGCAAAGCTCTTTTTGGTAACCTGGCCTGGAACAGGGGAGGAGGAGCTGAAGAAACCTTCCTGAAACAGACCTTGGCCCTGTAAAGGCCAAGTCTACTCCTGAGAGTAATGTCTCTGACAATCACTTATACTGATGAGTCCCCCTTGTTCACTAGGCCCACCTCAGAGCCAACACACACACTGTCCTTTCTGTCCAGACACTTCCCATGGCAGACTCCTTCTCATCATTCATCTCAGCTGCTACCTCTGAGAAGCTTTCCCTGACCACGCACCCAACAGCACTCAGGATGGAGTCTACAAGGGGAAACTGGGTCTCCCTCCCCACTCAGACACACTCTTTGCCCTATTACCCTATTTTTTATAGCTCTTATTAACATCTGCCTAATCTTATTCATTCAGATTTTCTTTGGTACAACTTCCTCTTCAGAATGTAATTTCCATGAAATTAGAGTCCTCATTTATTGCTGGTACTCCAGCCCTACAGCAGTGCTTGGGGCATAAAGTAAGAGATCAATAAATATCTGTTAAATGAACGAATCTAGCATATACAAAGAACTCATACAAATCAATAAGAAAAGAAAATGGTTAAAATTGGGTGAACCACAGAAAAGGAAATGTACATGGCTAAATTACTCAACTTCACTATTTCAGAGGGAAGCAAATTAAAACAAAATACCACTTTTGACCCTCAAGTTGCCCAAAATTTCAAACACAGGAAATATCAAATATTGATGACCAGTAGAGAAATGAGTGTTCTCATGCAATGCTTGCAGAAAGGTAAAACGGCACGGCCCTTGGGAGAGCAGTTTGCCGTGCTGATTACAGTGAAGAATGGATGCAGCCAGCAATTCCACTTCTGAGTAACCACATGTGTGCAGCAGTCTCATGCAAGGATGTTCACCAAGAAATGCTCTGTGGAAGTTAAAAACAATGAGGAGGGGCTATCCACAGCACAAATAGATCTTCAAGATATACGTCAGTGAAAAATGAAACGGAAGAAGATAAAGTAAACCTTTTATTTAAAAAAAAACAAAAAAAAAACTCGCACTTATAAAACAATTTTTTTTTCCTATAGGCACATATGTTTAGAAATGTATAAAGAACCTGTGCAGATAATAAAAGTGGTTTGGTGTTAGGGGACAGAGATCAAAGAGGACTTTATCCTTATGTGAAGCTTTTATTATTTTTTTCATGGAGTATATAATACTGTAATATTTGTGTGATTATAAAAATAAAGTGTTTAGTGTTAAATGAGGGTGGATAAGATACTAGGAAAAAGTACATTTCTTTCCTATCCCCTTTCTGCTTTACTAGCAGACATTAAATAAAATATCAGTTAAACTTGAAATGATACCAAGTTATATCCAAGTAGCGAAAATATAAAAATATTAAGGTGCTAAACACACACAGTTTCTAGTTTAATCAGATGAGCCCCACCTTCCAGCAGTGACGTCCTCTTTCCCTCAGATGAGAGGTGGCCAATGAGGATGAACGGAAGTATGTCCCTACCGCCATGGTCGACAATCTTCAATATAAAGCTGATGAGTTTTAAATGGCATAAAACAAAAGAAATACTGGAAGAATAAGCCAGAAATTAAAGAGACTGGTTACTTATGGGGGAGAGTGGGAAAGGAGGAATGGGAGCAGGAGAGCAGGGCTGGCGCCTCTCTGAAGAGCCTTTTTTGCACCTGACTCTTAGAGACACAGTGATGTTTCACACACCCTTCTCATGCTCCCAAATTAAACAATTACAACCGATGGAGATGTGGGGAACCCAATGTGGGGTACAAACGCTAACAAAGAAGTCTGACTACTGCAAATGAGTGGCACCACAGTGAAGGGGTGGGCAAGGAAGAACTATCCAAGAAACTGAGAAATGTTATCTTCACTGGATGCTTAAAACTAAAGGCAAAAAGAACTATACATAAATGCTGTAAGTCTAGTTAGTACGTGTGTTTCTCAAAGGAATGTAAGTTAGCAATTTGGAAACTCTAACTTATTACTTCTTTGTAAGTAAGAGAGCCAGGATTCTCACTTTTGGAATAAGAAGTTATATATTAAGAGGAAAAGGCAAAAGAAGGAAAAAAAAAAAAAGAGAGAGAGAGAGAGAAGGCCAAAATGAACCCTGTAGCATCAGACTGGAATCCAAGAGAATTAGCATAAACTTCTAGTTTTTAATACACACCCCCCCATACACACACATGACAGATACAGAAATATAGATGTATGCATATGCATGTGTATAAATACATGTATTTCCTAGTTCTATCTGCTCAGGAGACCTAGAAGTAATGATACCCTGATACCAAAGAGAACATAAGAGAATCATAAGAGAGTAACATCCGCATTTCCCCAGGGTACAGTTTATATGCCCCTCTTCATAGGGAAAGGGGTGATATGGGTGTAGGAGTAAATAATTTTTAGGGAAACTCAATGGACCTGGAGAACACACCAACGGCCTGGGACGAAGTGTATCTGGCCCACAGACAATGACTAGTAAATGATTCTCTTCAAAATACTGAATGGGACCAAAATAGAAGACAATGGCCTATGACAAGTTTGTCCAGATGAGTCAAAAGTTAATGACAACTCAGTGAAAGGACCAGAGGTTAGGCAGATAAGAGAACGTCTTCATCCTGTGCTTTAAAGAGTGACAGAGGATGAAGAGCTGGAGGGAGACCTTGAGGCTGCTTCTTTATTCCAGCACATCAAAGCACGATATTTTGGAGTAACAGCCTCTGAGCCCCAACATTACAAAGGAAATGACAGTAACTCTGCAGTGGAGAAACCCAGCAGACACTACCTTAACCAAGTAATCAAAGTTAACATTACTAGTAGGAGACACACTGACATCATAGGAACCCCTTGATAAGAAGCACTGAGAGGACATCCCTGCTGTATTCTTGCCAAAAATACATAACCTCATTCCAATCATGAGAAAACATCACACAAACTAAAACTGAGGGACTCTGTATTAAACTTCTAAGCGGTATTCTTAAGTGTCAAGGTCATGAAAGACAAGGAAAGATAGAGGAATTGTCATAGATAGGAGACTAGGAGAAAAAACTAAACAAATGCAATGTAAGATCAGGGATTAGATCCTGGAATAAAAACAGACACTAGTGGAAACACTGAAACAATTCAAATAAGGTCTACAGTTTAGTTAATAGTACTGTACCAACGTTAATTTCTTAGTTTTGACAAAGCCACCATAACAAATGGTTACATAAGATGTTAACAATGGGGGAAGCTGGGTGACTGCAGGTAATTGGAGAACTTTCTGTTCTATTTTTGTACCTTTTCTGTAAGTATAAAATTAGTTCAAGATTCAAAAAAACACTTTTTAATGGTGTGACATGCAAGTTCAGATCCCAAAGCTGTCAGAAGAAAAGGCAGGATCTAAGAGAGGATTTTAACTGGTAGGACAAAAACATCACTCTCCAGAAGGAGAAGGCTGAATCTTGGTGGACAGCCATAATTAAAAAGAGGAGAGAAGGGAAGGGAGCCTGTAAGGAAATTCATCTGATGGTCTGCCAAAGTCATGATTTACTGGAGCAAAGGAATATGATGTGACAGCCTGACCCAAAAGGTAAAAGGGGCCATTCAAAAACTTTTTTAACTGCATTAATAAGAATGGACAGTCTGCCTGCACAGAACGAATTCCAACATGCTCAAATATATTACATGTTCAAAACTTTTTTTTTTACACATAGAGAAGTTTACAAAAATCCCACTTCTATTTAAGTTACAGCACATGGTAGAAATTTTGCTCGAAGATGCAGCTTAAATGTGCAGTCTCATGTGAAAGAATACTTGGATTAGCAGAGGAAGTTTATAATGTAAGAATGACACAAGAAAACAGCACTTCTCGTCTCCATATCCAGAGCATCTTCTGTTAAGCAGGATCCCAGGGCTTTCTACAATAGGGGTCCTTGTCATTAATAAAATGAATTCTTTTGTCCTAAAAGTAATGAAGCTTCAATATTTTAATTAAGAACTCCGAATTTGTTGAATAACTTAAAATACATTCAGCATCGTACTCGCCCCTCCCCAACCAATGTCCAACAATGGCAGGATGGCATTAATAAAAAAAAAATTTCTCAGTACATCTGTTAGCCTGGTAAGTGGCCCGTTTAGGATCTCTATTAACCATACAGTGTCAACTGGTATCAAAGATCACTACAAGATGTAACAAGATCTTGAAAGAACATCTGGGTAAGAGAATTAGCTACCAAGCAGTTTCTGCAGCTGCTCGTGCAGGTAACTAAGTAGGTCAAGGCAACCACAGCATGACTCCTATGGCCACTCACTCTTCAGGGAGGCAGAATGGCTTCTTTGCTGCTTGCTACAAAAGTGCTGAGCTCTTGGCCCAGTGTCCCTGAGCTACAAGGCAGCCACTGCACCGAGCCACCATCTAGGCTCCCACGGACATGGGGCCACGGAGCCAGCACTATCATGCTGATGCTCACTCTGGCTGCTGTGCTTTGAGAAACAGATGGTTTTGCTTTGATCCATTAAACCTCATCTACTTTTGTCACTTAGGCATATTTCTTTCCGGCCATCCTTCATAAGGTTGGAGTTCTTATTTGCCACTAATCTCTGCTTCCCACACCCCCCAGGTAAAGCTTCAGTTGCCCTTCTTGTGGCCTTCCACACACCACTGTCACCATTTAACTTGTGGCGACCACCAAGGGTGCACTTGGCATGGAAGGACCTGAAATTGCATCTGGTTTCCATTCACAGCTGGTTCATGTTTGCACCAAAGGAATCATTTATCTCAGGAAGAAAATTAGGATGGAATGATAATCCAGCAGCCAGCAAGTCTTAATAATAGGCAATTTATCTGGTAAGAATATATGAGACAATGCTTCTTGAATTTTTTTTTCATGAAAACTGCTCCAACAG